CTGAACTGAGCCAGTCTGCACAAATCAACTGTGTTTCAGCTCAGTAGGCACGGGAGGCAGAGCCCAGGGAGGCCCGGAGGTCGGACAGGCAGGCGGAGGGGAGAGGTGGCAGGGCCAGAGGAGGCGGGGCCCCGGGGGGCGGAACTTAGCCACTGTGAACACGACTTGCTGTGGACCTGCTCACAAGCAGCTAAGCCCTGCTCCCCAGGCCAGACGCAGGCGGTGGAGGCCTCTCTGCCACCCCGTCCCCATCCCTGGGTCAGTGTCCTCAGCGGAAGCAGTGACAGCGGTGGCCCCAGAGGCAGGGCTCAGGGCCGGTTGGAAATCCCTGGCAATGTGATTTGTGACAGGCAGCAAATCCCATCCCCAGGAACCCCAGCCGGCCATGGCACAGGGGTGGGGGGGCACCGGGCAGGGCCAGCAGCTGGCACCTAGGAGAGACAAAAGGAGGTAATGAGATTTGAGGACATCTGCCCTCCAGGTCCCCACTTGCTGCCACCCTTTGAGGTCTTGCAGGGAAGCCCTTTTTCCCCATGTGCAGCAGCAGCTAAAGAGAGAGCTAGACCACCAGGCTGGATACCCCCAGGCCCAGCCATGCCTCCCAGGCCCAGAGAGGTAGAGATACCCAGAGGGTCACTTTCGGCCAAGGAGGCTGCAGGAGCTCCCAGAGCCAGGTCCCCCCTCCCTTTCTTCACCACCCCCACCACTGAGCCCTGGGCAGGCTAACTGGGGCCATGGGGAGAGGAAGCTGAGGGGGTGGCGGGCAGGAGGGTGAGGAAGTGATCTCACCCCAGCTGGCGCCACTTCCTAGAAGCCTGAAGGGCAGGAGGAAACCACCAGGGCCACCCCGCGTGGCCCTGTCTCCTTGGTGGTCAGGCCTCAGCCCGCACCCCACCAGAGTGAGCGGATGCTGGCAGCGGGCGCCCACGTCTCCCCCGAGGCACGCACACCCCCAGAGCACCGGACCCAGGCTCGAGGTGCAAATTCCAGCTCGGCAGTTTCCCAAATGCCCTCCAAGCCTCAGTCTCCCCATCTGTAAAGTGGAGCCAAGAGTCTCTACCACATAGCATGGTGAGGTTTCACCAAGAGTGCTGCCTAGCAAGTACCTGGCACCAAGACCACCTACAGAATTTGTGGGACTCAGTGCAAAATGAAAACTTGGGGCCGCTTGTTCACAAATTAAGAATTTCAAGACGACAGCAG